AATCAACAATAAGGATATAAGCTCAAAAATATTAATTTTTGTAGCATACTGTTCAGTGGGAAATTAAAATTTCAAGTTAGAATTAACAAAAATTGTTCCTGAAACAATTTTAAACAATCTTTGTCAACACTTTTTTTTGATTTAATCAATAATTAAGGGGATAACCTCAAAATAATAATTTTTAAATTTTTATACATAATTACACTTAGATGCTTAATTAATAGAGATGTAAAAATTTTTTGTTAAGATAATTGATTCAAAATCGAAATTGAAACAAATTTTATTTAAAACATTTTTTGATAAAAACAATAATTATCGAGATAATTAATTTTGATAGCATACTATTCAGAGGGAAATTAAAATTTCAAGTTAGCAAAAAATTGTATTAACAAACACTGTTCCTGAAGTAATTCTAAACAAATTTTGTTAACAACATTTTTTGATTAAATCAACAATAAGGATATAACCTCAAAAATATTAATTTTTGTAGCATACTATTCAGTGGGAAATTAAAATTTCAAGTTAGAAAAAAATTGTGTTAACAAAAATTGTTCCTGAAACAATTCTAAACAAACTTTGTCAACAATTTTTTTTGATTTAATCAATAATTAAGGAGATAACCTCAAAATAATAATTTTTCCGTTTTTATACATAATTATACTTAGATGCTTAATTAATAGAGATGTAAAAATTTTTTATTAAGATAATTGATTCAAAATCGAAATTGAAACAAATTTTATTTAAAACATTTTTTGATAAAAACAATAATTATTGAGATAATTAATTTTGATAGCATACTATTCAGAGGGAAATTAAAATTTCAAGTTAGCAAAAAATTGTATTAACAAACACTGTTCCTGAAGTAATTCTAAACAAATTTTGTTAACAACATTTTTTGATTAAATCAACAATAAGGATATAACCTCAAAAATATTAATTTTTGTAGCATACTGTTCAGTGGGAAATTAAAATTTCAAGTTAGAAAAAAATTGTGTTAACAAAAATTGTTCCTGAAACAATTCTAAACAAACTTTGTCAACATTTTTTTTTATTTAATCAATAATTATCGAGATAATTAATTTTGAAGGAATACTATTCAGAGGGAAATTAAAATTTCAAGTTAGCAAAAAATTGTGTTAACAAACACTGTTCCTGAAGTAATTCTAAACAAATAATGTTAATAAAAATTTTTGATCAATAATTATTTTATTTATATATTTATTATTGAGAAAATTGTTTAGAATTTAATTTAGAACAACTTTTGTACGAAATTTTCAAATCGTATCGTTTTGTTACAAAAGTTCCGTGCCCTAGTAATTATACGCTGTTTTTACTTACAAGGAATGTTAATAGATCCAGGAATTAATCCGGTCGCTTCAATTTCATGTGGTTCTCTAACATCAACAAAAAAAACCTTGGGGTTGTCCTTCAACGCTCTCACCTCATCGATTAAAATGATATTTTCGTCGTTTCCAGTTGACATGTTAAACAATTCGGCTTTAAACAAATTATTAAATCGATCATTCTTAAGAATTTTGTGTAAATTGATGCTAATTGAACGAAACATCGCAATGTTTACAAATATTTTAAGTTAACCTCACTTTTTTACTTACAATTAAAAAAATGTTGTTGATGAAGTATTTGGAAGGAAATAAATGATATATAATTTCATTTAATATAGAAATTAAGATTAGATTAAGTGTTTTCTCTAAAAGATAAGTTGTAAATAATAAGATAAGACTTTTTTTATTTATTAATTAATCTTTAAACACATTGTAGATTAAAAAATGATTTAAATTCTTATTGAGAACTCCATTCGGTCCATCCTCCTTTAAAATTCCTCACACTAAAAAGAATTAAATCAATATAAATTATTAAAAACACAATCAGTTACTTTTGATATCCCAAATCTGTTGCAATTTTACAAGCACGAGTGCTTCTTCCTCCAGCATGACAATGAAAAACTATCTCAGTATCAAAATTTGGTTTATCTCGTCCAAACTTTGCCTTGAATTCATCACTGGTCATGTTTTTTAAGACTTCTTCCAGGGTATCAACTAAAATTAAATAAAGAATCAATAAATAAAAAATCTCTCTAATTATCTTACTGGGTATATTAATTGTTGTTGGAATCGCATTTTTATGCTCATCTGGTCTCCGAACATCGACAAACAAAACTTGAGGTTTAGAACCTGTAGAAAGACTTTTAGCTTCTTGTAAAGTAACAATTTCTGACGACATTTTAGAACTTAATTGAACTAATTTATGGACCTTGAAAGGTTCGTTGAGTAAACATACTGTGTAAGATATGTGACCCAATATACACCACGTCATATTATTCGATCTCGTGTTGTCATGAAAAGTAACACGTTAAAATAAAAGTTTTATAACTATTTATAGTGGTTGATTCTATCAATAAAGAATAAACAAAACGTTGAAATATATATTAATATTCAATATTTTTATTAAATGACTTAATAAATTATTGATAGATGGCGCTCACATATATTTTTTTTAATGAACGTATCCCCCGGCTGTGACGTCATTGGAAGAATTGACATTTTTATGTTTTTATCGTTTTTATTTATACAGTGTATTTCAGTTAAGAAGCAAAATATAAAATAAAATTAAAAAAATATAAAGCGAAATATTAACGGTTACAATTTTATTATTTTTAGGCTATCCAAGTTGACTCGGTTACCATGGTGATTAAGATCCAAATATGGCAGGTGCTTGTCAAAATTGAAATTGAATTTAAGTTTTTTTTAAGGAAAAAGTCTTATTTAATTGGTTTAAAAGGCTGTATTTAATTCAAAATTGGTTTATCTATTGTATTATGAACAAGGTAAGTGGATTAAATAAAAAAAAAAATATTTTTAATTTATTTCTCTTAATTAGATTCGATTTAAATTAATTACAATTAACGAATTTGTTATGAATGCGAGATAATCGTAAAGAATTCGAATTGTTTTAAAATTAATTAAAATTAAGTTAGAATTAATAAAAAAAATCGGAATAAAATTTTATTATTTTTAGGTTATCCAACTTGACTCGGTTACCATGGTGATTAAGATCCAAATATTGCAGTTGCTTGTCAAAATTGGCGTTGAATTTAAGTTCTTTTTAATGAAAAACACACAATTAATTGGATTTAAAGCTTGTATTTAATTCAAAATGGGTAAATGGATGGAATTATAAGCAAGGTGAGTGGATCAATTAAAATGTATAAGAATTTAGGGTTAAATAATTTTCAGTTATCAATATCAACTTTAATTTTATTATTATATTCGTAATCTTCATAAAATATCCTTTAAAATGACTCCAAACTCGACATATTTAACTTTAATATTAATACAATCACTTCCGGTTTGAAACGTCAACGTCAATTTTGACATATTTGTCATCTTCATTAAAAAATTTTTAAAATGAGTCCAAANGATTTTTCACGACAATTACAAATATGTCAAAATTGACTTTGACATTTCTAACCGGAAGTTGACCATAACTTCATTAATATTGAAGATAAGTATGTCGTGTTTGTACTCATTTTAAAGGATTTTTAATGAACATTACAAATATGTCAAAATTGAGGTTGACATTTCAAATCTGAAGTTGGTTATTGGACAACTTCATGGTGTTCTTCCATGATGTATTTTTTATTAAAATACCTTTAAAATAAGTCCAAACATGACGCATTTATCTCAAAAAACCAAAAAGTTCGAATTTTCAACTTTTAATTTTGACATATTTGTCATCTTCATTAAAAAACCTTTAAAATGAGTCCAAACACGACGCACTTATCTCAAAAAACAAAGAAGTTTGAATAAAAAAACGTTAAATCCGAAGATAGCAATTTAATTATTAAATATTAATACCAACCTTAATTTTTAATTCTTTTTTGTTGTAATTTTGTTTTTGTGACAAATATTAAGACATTTTATAAAAATTAAGAATATGTCAAAATGACATTGACATTTCAAACCGGAAGTTGCTTATATCTCGAGTAATATTGGAATTAAACATATCATGTTTGAGCTCATTTTAAAGGATTTTTCACGACAATTACAAATATGTCAAAATTGACTTTGACATTTCTAACCGGAAGTTGACCATAACTTCATTAATACTGGAGATAAATATGTGGTGTTTGTACTCATTTTAAAGGATTTTGAATGAACATTACAAATATGTCAAAATTGAGGTTGACATTTCAAATCTGAAGTTAGTTATTGGACAACTTCATGGTGTTCTTTCATGATGTATTTTTTTATTAAAATACCTTTAAAATAAGTCCAAACATGACGCACTTATCTCAAAAAACAAAAAAGTTTGAATAAAAAAACGTTAAATCCGAAGTTAGCAACAATGAAGTTAGCAACTAATTATTAATACCAACCTTAATTTTTAATTCTTTTTTGTTGTATTTTTGTTTTGTTTTTGTGTTTTTGTGATAAATTTTGCGACATTTTATAAAAATTAAGAATTTGTCATGACTGACATTTCAAACCGGAAGTTGCTTATATCTCGACTAATATTGGAATTAAACGTATCATGTTTGGGCTCATTTTAAAGGATTTCTGACGACAATTACAAATATGTCAAAATTGACTTTGACATTTCTAACGGGGAGTTGACCATAACTTCATTAATATTGAAGAAAAATATGTCGGGTTTGTACTCATTTTAAAGGATTTTTAATGAAGATTACAATTATGTCAAAATTGAGGTTGACATTTTAAATCTGAAGTTAGTTATTATATAATAGATAAATAGACAACTTCATGGTGTTCTTTCATGACGCATTTATCTCAAAAAACCAAAAAGTTCGAATTTTCAACTTTTAATTTTGACATATTTGTCAACTTCATAAAAAATCCTTTAAAATGAGTCCAAACTCGACATATTTAACTTTAATATTAATGGAAATACAATCACTTCCGGTTTGAAACGTCAACGTCAATTTTGACATATTTGTCATCTTCATTAAAAAACCTTTAAAATGAGTCCAAACATGACGCACTTATCTCAAAAAACAAAAAAGTTAGAATAAAAAACATTAAACCCGAAGTTAGCAACAATGAAGATAGCAATTTAATTTTTAAATATTAATACCAACCTTAATTTTTGATTTTTTTTTATTATATTTTTGTTTTTGTGACAAATATTAAGACATTTTATAAAAATTAAGAATATGTCAAAATGACATTGACATTTCAAACCGGAAGTTGCTTATATCTCGAGTAATATTGGAATTAAACGTATCATGTTTGGACTCATTTTAAAGGATTTTTCACGACGATTACAAATATGTCAAAATTGACGTTGACATTCTTAACCGGAAGTTGACCATAACTTCATTAATATTGAAGATAAATATGTCGTGTTTGTACTCATTTTAAAGGATTTTTAATGAAGATTACAAATATGTCAAAATTGAGGTTGACATTTTAAACCTGAAGTTAGTTATCATATAATAGAAGTTTTATAATTGACGTTAATCTAGTGTTTAGTCGTGAAAAAAACTTTCAGTTGTCAATGTCAACTTTAATTTTATTATTATATTCGTAATCTTCATAAAATAACCTTTAAAGTGAGTCCAAACATGACGCATTTATCTCAAAAAACCAAAAAGTTCGAACTTTCAACTTTTAATTTTGACATATTTGTCAACTTCATAAAAAATCCTTTAAAATGAGTCCAAACTCGACATATTTAACTTTAATATTAATGGAAATACAATCACTTCCGGTTTGAAACGTCAACGTCAATTTTGACATATTTGTCATCTTCATTAAAAAACCTTTAAAATGAGTCCAAAGATGACGCACTTATCTCAAAAAACAAAAAAGTTAGAATAAAAAACATTAAACCCGAAGTTGGCAACAATGAAGATGGCAATTTAATTTTTAAATATTAGTACCAACCTTAATTTTAAATTTTTTTTTATTATATTTTTGTTTTTGTGACAAATATTAAGACATTTTATAAAAATTAAGAATATGTCAAAATGACATTGACATTTCAAACCGGAAGTTGCTTATATCTCGAGTAATATTGGAATTAAACGTATCATGTTTGGACTCATTTTAAAGGATTTTTCACGACGATTACAAATATGTCAAAATTGACGTTGACATTTCTAACCGGAAGTTAACCATAACTTCATTAATATTGAAGATAAGTATGTCGTGTTTGTACTCATTTTAAAGGATTTTTAATGAACATTACAAATATGTCAAAATTGAGGTTGACATTTCAAATCTGAAGTTAGTTATTGGACAACTTTATGGTGTTCTTTCATGATGTATTGTTTATTAAAGTACCTTTAAAATGAGTCCAAACATGACGCATTTATCTCAAAAAACCAAAAAGTTCGAATTTTTAACTTTTAATTTTGACATATTTGTCAACTTCATAAAAAATCCTTTGAAATGAGTCCAAACTCGACATATCTAACATTAATATTAATGGAAATACAATCACTTCCGGTTTGAAACGTCAACGTCAATTTTGACATATTTGTCATCTTCATTAAAAAACCTTTAAAATGAGTCCAAAGATGACGCACTTATCTCAAAAAACAAAAAAGTTAGAATAAAAAACATTAAACCCGAAGTTAGCAACAATGAAGATAGCAATTTAATTTTTAAATATTAATACCAACCTTAATTTTTTATTTTTTTTTATTATATTTTTGTTTTTGTGACAAATATTAAGACATTTTATAAAAATTAAGAATATGTCAAAATGACATTGACATTTCAAACCGGAAGTTGCTTATATCTCGAGTAATATTGGAATTAAACGTATCATGTTTGGACTCATTTTAAAGGATTTTTCACGACGATTACAAATATGTCAAAATTGACGTTGACATTCTTAACCGGAAGTTGACCATAACTTCATTAATATTGAAGATAAATATGTCGTGTTTGTACTCATTTTAAAGGATTTTTAATGAAGATTACAAATATGTCAAAATTGAGGTTGACATTTTAAATCTGAACTTAGTAATCATATAATGGACAAATGGACAACTTCATGGTGCTCTTTATGATGTATTCTTTATTAAAAAAAACCATTAAAATGAGTCCAAACATGATGTTGCATTTTGTATATTTTTATTGCACTAAAACTAGAACTACACTAGATCTACAACTAAAAAAAAATCTCTGCAACGTTGTTATAATCCCTAGAGAATTTTCTACAATCATTTTTGAAAAATCGCGAAAAATCGATTTAATATCGAAAATATCGTAAAATATAGTAGTTTGGTCCCCAAAAAAT